CCTAGATGGGACATACTTGTGTATAAGGGAGGATAGGAAGGTGGGAGCAGTATTATATAGAGATTTGAAAGCAAGAACCAGAATTTTAAATTGAGCCCTATATCTTACAGGAAGCCAATGTAGGGACTGACAGAAGGGTGAGGTGCGGGCGGACAGGAAGATGAGCTTCGTCGCCACATTCATTATGTACTGTAAGTTGGGAGCACGTAAGACCACTGAGAAGCGGATTACAGTAGTCAAGGCGAGAAAGGACAATTGAATGGATCGGCACCTTAGTCGCATTCGGCGTTAAGTAGGGTCGGATGCGTGCAATTTTTTTTTGGGAAATGACAGGATTTGGCAATAGACTGAACATAAGGCATGAAGGAGAGGTCGGAGTCAAAGAGAACACCTAGGCAGCAAGCCTGCGTGGTGGAGCAGATGGTAGCACCATTGACTTGGAGGGAGGGAGACACAGGAGTAACAACACTTGAGGGAGGAAAGACTAGAATTTCAGTTTTGGTCAAGTTTAGTTTAAGGAAGTGGGCAGCCATCCAGTTAGAAATAGCAGAGAGGCAGTCAGAGACACTAGTCAAGAGGGATGGGGAGAGATCAGGAGAGGACAGGTAGATTTGTGTGTCATCCGCATAGAAATGATATTGTAAGCCAAAGGAGCTAATGAGTTTACCAAGGGAGGCAGTATAGATAGAGAACAATAGGGGATCAAGGACTGAACCTTGGGGGACACCAACTGGGAGGAGTTGGGGAGAAGCAGAGCCAGAGAAAGAAACACTGAAAGAGAGGTAGGAGGAGCACCAGAATAGAGAAATATCTAGTATACCAGTATTGCGGAGGACTGTTGATGATCAACAGTGTCAAAAACCGCAGATAGGTCAAGGAAAATTAGGATAGAGTAGTGACCATGAGATTTTGCAGCGAGTAGATCATTGGCTACTTTGGTCAGTGCCGTTTCCACAGAGTGCTTAGCGCGGAAACCAGACTGAAGCGGGTCTAGTAGAGAGTTAGACTCAAGCAAGTCTGTCAATTTTGCATACACAAATCTTTCAAGTATCTCGGATGCAAATAGCAGTATTGAGATAGGACGGTAGTTGGATGGGGAGTTAGGGTCAAGGTTGGGCTTCTTTAGAATTGGGGTTACAGTTGCATGTTTGAAGGGTGATGGAAATATGCCAGAGGAGAGAGAGAGATTGAGAATTCTAGTGAGAGGTGGTGAAATAGAAGAAGACAGAGTACGGATGAGATGCGAGGGAATTGGATCTAAGGAGCAGGTGGTGGGGCGGGAGGACTGGAGCAGAAACCTCTTCCACTGTAGTGGGTGCGAATGAACATAGAACAGTAGAGGGAGTGAGGTTAGGGGAAGTAGTGTAAGGGGAAGTAGAAAGATAAGAGATCTTCCCTGATTGTAGAGATATTGTCAGTGAAGTGAGTTGCAAAGTCTAAGGCAGTCAGGTTAGTAGGTGGAGGAGGAACAATAGGGCAAAGAAGAGAGTTAAATATGTGAAATAGTCATTTGGGTTCGAGGGAGAGTGTGGTTATGAGGGTATTGAAGTAATTTACTTTTGCAGAGGAAAGAGCCAAGCTGTATGAGCGCAGCACAAATTTATAGTGGAGAGTCTTACGGACAGTGAGACTTTCTCCAACAGCGGTCAGCAGTTCTGGAGCATTTTTGGAGGTATCGTGTCATCTTGGTGTGCCAAGGTTGTTGTTGGGGGTGCCTGCTGCGTTTAAATGTAGGAGGTGCCATGATGTCTAGTTGAGAGGAGAGGGTGGAATTGCAGAAGGAGGTTGCAGAGCTAGGACAGGTGAGGTTTGAGATAGGTAAATGCTCTATTAGTGGAGAAATGCTCTAGGTCTAGACATTGGAGTTTTCTGTGAGATTGATGTTCAGACAGTGGTGTCAATTGGGTCTTAGGTATGCCGATGTCAAAGGTCAGCAAATGGTGGTCAGATAGAGGAAAAGGAATAATTGAAAAGATTAGAGGCAGTACAGAGATTGGAGGTTACAGAGAGCAGACGAGAGGCATTAGTGCAATTGGGGTTGTTGATTGGGATATTGAAATCCCAAAGTATAAGGGAAGGAGTGCTAGATGAGAGGAATTCAGTGCAATTCATTGTTTAGTGCAGGGGTGACAAAAAGGTAGATCCCCAGATGTTTTAAAACTACAGCTTCCATGATGATTTTTCATTATAAAGGAATTTTAAAGGCATGCAAAGCACCATGGTAGTTGTAGTTCTGCAACATCTGAAGATCTACCTTTTGCCCCTTCCGCCCCTCCCCCCGTGTGAATTCCAATGTCCGCAATATACTTGTGTTAAAAAAAATGGTATTAAAAATGAACACTCAAGCACTAGTCTATTCCCATCTAAACATAAATTCAAATGAAACCTGTATCAACAATGGATACTTGTAAATCTTTTGTCATTGTTTCCAATCATAATCAAGTATGTGTGAAAATATGAATTAGTATTTTCAAATAACTTATCAACAGACTGCATAGTCAGATGTTTTATTTATGTATGATTAAAAAACTGGAAAATACAAATACATTTATTATCAAAAATATTTGGTTATATGCTGTGGTAAGAAGGTAGTTTGTATCTTTCACAGATAATTATTATTAAGATATTCATTTTCTTTTATACTTCTATTACTTTTCTTATATTTTTCTCTGAATGGGAACATTAATAATATTATTACTACTTTTTTTCTATAAACAGAAGACCCTTCATAAGCAAAATATTGATCAACAATAAATATGAAATATTGTTTAAGAACTTGCTTAAGACACTGTAAAGTGTTGAATATAGTTTTCATGTAAAAAAAATGTTGCTGTAATTTACAGATAGTACTTCAGTCACAATTGCATCTGTCACAAGATCACCAATAGTATGTTATTTTCCCTACCAAGCAACATTTTAAAGAAACACTCCAAGCTCTCTAACTAGAAAAACAGATTGTAGTGGTTATGGTGCCAAAAGTGTCCTGGTGCCTCTCGCTGTAAGTTGTCAAATATTTTATAACAGTTTGACTTCTTACCTGGACAACAAAATATGTGAACACAACCCCAGTGAGAAATATATGCAATTTAAAGCAAACCAGGACTTCCCTGTAATTTAGGTGAAATATCCAGGTAAATCCCCAAAGACTTCCTCTTGTCTTCAGCAAATATATACAAATAGAATAGGGGAAAGTCTGCTAAGTACAAACAAAATAAAAAAACATAGCGTTTAACTGTGTAGGGACTAATAATAGTGTGCAATCACAATTGGTCACTCACAAATTATCTGATGTAAAAGCAGCCTTGAATAATATCTTTTTCTTCAGTATCCACTATGTTGTCCCTCCTCACACTTCCATCAGCGAATTGATATATATGGCTCAAAAGAGAAAAATATATACAAAATGTAGTGCACTTCCAGAGTATATTAAAAAATATTTTAATAGCTTACATTTAGGTATGAAACAAATAGCATGTCACCATTTGAGCCATATATATCAATTCGCTGATGGAATTGTGAGGAGGGACAACATAGTGGATACTGAATATAAATAGGGTTGCAACTTTTTGAGGGCCCACATCACGGCCATGCATTCCTTTTCGATGGCAGTGTAGCTTACTTCTCTAGGTAACTGCTTGGGATGGGATGTTCTCTGCCATCGAGCCTTACTTGACTCAGTACTGCCCCCAATCCAAACATAGAAGCATCTGTATGAACAAGAAAACGTTTAGTTGGATTTGGAGCTGCCAAGACAGGGGCTTTTATAAGTGCATTTTCCAATTGTTGGAATGTCTGCTCACACTCCAGGGTCCAGGCAACTTGGTGGGGAAGGTTCTTACGGGTAAGGTCAATAAGGGGTTTGGCCAGGGCGCTATAATTGGGCACAAACTTTCTATAGTACCCTGCCATCCCTAGAAAGGCCAATACCTGCTTCTACTTAGCGGGCTTGGGCTTCTGCTGCCCGCATCCCACTTGGTGTTCAAGGTACTGCACCTCGGCCGTGCCTAGGTTTCACTTGGCAGGCTTCAGAGTTAAGCCTGCTTCCCTAATCCTATCTAGGATCACTCCTAAACTGGTCAAGTTCTCCTGTCAGGTATCGCTAAAAGTGGCGATATTGTCTAAATATGCTCAGGTGTAGTCCTGGAACCCATCCAGGAGTCGGTCCACCATCCTTTGGAAGCTAGTCAGAGCGTTTTTCATCCCAAAAAGCATTACCTTAAATTGGTATAAGCCAAATGGGGTGACAAAGGCTGACTTAGGGATGGCTTCAGGGGCTAGGGGAACCTGTCCATACCCCTTACAAAGATCAATTGTAGTGAGGTATTGTCCCCTAGCCATCCTGTCCAACAGCTCATCTATCCTAGGCATGCGATAGGCATCTGACACTGTCTTTTCGTTTAACCTCGGGTAGTCCACTCAGAACCGGGTCATACCACCCCGTTTGAGTATGAGGACTACTAGGGAGGCCCAGGGGCTGTAAGAGGGCTCAATAATCCCCAGTTGGAGCATCTCTCGGATCTCCTTGCGCATGTTCTCCCACACCGACTCAGGGATTCGGTATGGGGTTTGACGCATAGGGAGTTGACCTGGTGTCTCTACCTGGTGAGTTGCCAAATGGGTGTATAAAGGTACATTGGAGAAGGTGTCTTTCTTCTCCCTTAACATCCGCTCCTGTGGGCTCAGCCGATCTCCAAACTTGACCTCTTCTATCTCACTGGATTGACTTCCGTCCCTTAAGAGTGCTGGTAGGGGAAAGTTGTTGAAGTCTTCAGAGGCAGGGGCACATATCGCTGTCACCTCCTCTGAGCGTTCACGGTAGGGCTTCAGCATGTTCACATGGAGCATGCATCACCCTCCCGACCCAGAGCAAGGGCCGATCACATAAGTGGTGTTGCATATTTGCTCCAACACTTTGTATGAGCCCTTCCAGGCAGCCTATAGTTTATCATGGAAGACAGGTTTTAAGACTAAAATTTCTGTCCTACCTGGAAGCTACGGTCCCTGGCTCCTCGATCGTACCATGTGCGTTGGCGCTTCTGGGCTGGCTGGAGGTTCTCATGTACAGACCTAGTTAACTCCTCCAGCCAGTCCCTGAACTCCAACACATAGGGCACGATGGGGATACCATCCAGACTACGCTCCTCTCCCAGTGTTCCCAGATAAGGATCCTTACCCATCTCAAAAACAGTAACTCAGGAGGGGAGAACCCCATAGATTCCTGGGGCTCCTCCTGGTACGCAAACAGAAGATGCAGCAGGAATCGTTTCCAATCCTGATGGGTCTCTGCGAACGTCCATAGCATCTGTTTCAATGTTCCATTAAAGCGTTCACAGAGCCTGTTGGTTTGGGGGTGATATGGGGCACTCACTATTGGCTTAATGCCACAGATCCTCCAGAGGTGGTGGGTGATCTCTGCTGTGAATTGAGTACCCCGATCCGGGAGAATATTTGCATAAAGGTCTCAGTGATGGTTTTAGCATATTAGTTAGTGTCACCGCCTCTTGATACCTGGTAGTGTAGTTAACCACCATCAAGATATATTTCTTGCCAGAGGGGCTAGGCTTAGCTAATGGACCCACTATATCTACCGCTATTTGGCTTACGGTTCTTCTATTATAGGTAGGGGATGAAGTTTGACCTTACGGCGATCTCCCCTCTTACCTACTCCCTGGCAGTATCACATGTCTGGCAATATCTCCTGACTTCCTGATTGATACCAGAAATTGATACCAAGAAATTCTGGGTAAGTCGGTACCAGGTGCAACCTACCCCTAAATGTCCAGATAGCGGAATATCGTAAGCTATCAGGAGTAACTCCTGTCGGTACCTCTGGGGTACTACTAGCTGTCTAGTGGGGATAGGGTCAGACCCAGCCACTCGGATTTCCTGTATAGCAACTTCTTATTCTGGTCAGCAGTGACTCTGTCTCTAAAGATCTGCAAAGTGGGGTCTGTGATCACCTGTCTCAAACTCAGTGGGCGCAGCCCAGGGAAAACACTCTAGGGATGGGATTTGGTCTCTTACCTGAGCCTCCGGTTGTGAGCTGTGGTCCTGGATGCCAGCCTGGTGACGACTGAGTACAATTCTCCTGGTGGGGCCTGGGGTTCAAATGCAGATGTGAGCTTCCCCAGATCATTACCCAACAGAACTTCAGCTGGTAAATTTAGCATTAATCCAACCTCCACCATTCCAGACCCCGCTCCCCAATCCAAATGTACCCTAGCTGTGGGTAGCCGGAATACTGCTCCCCCGTCTACCCCTACGGCTACAGTGTTTTTGGTCCTGGCATTGCTGGATACCAGGTGGCTCTTTACCAAGGTTAGTGTGGCTCCCGAGTCACGAAGCCCTTGTACCTCCTTCCCCTGCAGGTATACCATTTGCCGATGGTGCAGGACTTCCCACTATTCGACCGGTGGAACCGGAGTTGGAGCTGGGGCGGTATACTGTGATGGTGCTTCTCTCTGGTAGTAATCAGCAGCTGCTCAGGGCAGTGCTGGTGGACCCGGCTGGATCCATGTCGCTCGGTCTTGGATCTGGGAAAAGTCTCTCTTGTAATGACTCCACTTTTTACAGTGGTGGCACTGTATCGAGTTTGATAGCTGGAACCATTGTTGTGGGGCTGTTGGACCTACTGGCCGTGGTTGAGGAGGTCTCTGCTGACGGCGGGCATCAAAATATTCTTCGGCCCTCCTGTCTGCCTCTGTGCGGGAAATGGGATTACGGTCTTTGACCCACTCCTGGATGTCTGGGGATAGCCCATTAGAAAAACTAGCTCTAGAAAAACTAGCTGTAGCAAATCTTGTAGTGTGCGAGCTTTGTTTGCCTGTACCCATCCCAGAACAGCTCTATGCAGCCGGCAAGCCCATTCTGTATGAGAGTCCTTCTCCACTTTCTTAAGGTCTCTGAAATGTCTCCGGTATGCCTCTGGTGTGCTAGCATTTTGAGTCAATTTAACTTCTTTCACTCGGTCATAGTTCCTAATCTCCTCATCTGGAACAGTGCGGTAAGATTCAGCTGCCCTTCTAGATAATCTGCTTGCCAATAAGGGGACCTATTCCTCAATATCAATTTTATGTAGGGCACATTGTCTTACAAAATCTTGTAGGAATGCATCAATATCTTACTCGGCCTCTACATAGTTTTTAAAAGCTTGGTATGGAATTTTGGCACTATGGCACTATGGTTACTGCTACTGTTCCCTCTGGTATTTGTCAATCTCTCTGCCGCAGCACAAATTCCTGCAACTCCGTCATGGTATGGGAGATAATCTCTGTGGGTGGGTTTTTACCATAAAATGATAGTCGAAATTGCCGCTCTCTCTGGAACTCCGACTGCTACCGTTCGTTTGCCGAACTGCTTTGTTCGGGAGCCGAAGCGCTATCCATACGATATTCTGCCATCACTTCGGTAACAAGCACAGCCTTTTTTTAATTTATTTTATATAAATATTTATAAAAAAATTTCAAATATAAAGAAAAGACATACAATCACATATCATCAAAATTACAGTTAGGCATCACAATACCACTAACACTACTAATATACATATTAATCCAGTAAACATTGGTCAGTCTACTTTAGAATTCAAGAATGCCAAAACATTCAAAACATAAAAAGACAAGACAAAACATGTTGGTCTCCAATCGTTGTAAAAAGAGTATTGCAATAAAGAAATGCAGATGGGGGTTCACATTTCAGATCTCAATATGACTAGTGATGTCGCAAACCCGAAATTTTCGGTTCGCGAACGGCGAACGCGAACTTCCGCAAATGTTCGCGAACCGGCGAACCGCCCGAAACGCCATTGACTTCAATGGGCAGGCGAATTTTAAAACACACAGGGACTCTTTCTGGCCACAATAGTGATGGAAAAGTTGTTTCAAGGGGACTAACACCTGGACTGTGGCATGCCGGAGGGGGATCCATGGCAAAACTCCCATGGAAAATTACACAGTTGATACAGAGTCTAGTTTTAATCCATAAAGGGCAGAAATCACCTAACATTCCTAAATCACAATGAATATGGATTGACACCTGACATATGACATATTGACACCTTGACATATGGATTGACACCTGTCCTCAGAGCTCCTGATGCACATGGACACAGAGCAGAATAGGGACTGGTCCCCCTACATAGTGTCACTTGGCAGATATGGATTGACACCTGTCCTAAGGATCCCTGATACACACTGACACAGAGCAGAATAGGGACTGTTCCTCCTACATAGGGTCACTTGGCAGATATGGATTGACACCTGTCCTCAGAGACTATGATACACACTGACACAGAGCAGAATAGAGACTGTTCCCCCTACATAGGGTCACTTGGCAGATATGGATTGACACCTGTCCTCAGAGACCATGATACACACTGACACAGAGCAGAATAGGGACTGTTACCCCTACATAGGGTCACTTGGCAGATATGGATTGACACCTTGTTACAAACTGCTATTTGTAACGGCCCTTTAAATGGCAAATTGCCCTGCTTCCCTGGGTTGTGGAGAAGCCTATTTGCCAGCCTCCTCCCGCATGACTATGGCCCCTGGGAGATTGTGAAAATGTATGCACTTTATTTGGTGTGTATGGCCCTTTAAGACTGTCGGTGGGCATATTGGGGCTTATGGACTCTTTATGTGACTGGTGCTGGCCCTTTAAACACCTTTTTTGGGACATCAGGAAGATTGGGACACTGCCCCTTTAAGGCCGTGTCCCTAGACTTGTTGGGGACACGGCCCCTTTAAGACGGTGTCCCCTGTGTCCCCAGACCTGGTGAAAACCCTTTGTGCCTGCCTGGCTACTTCCCACTTGGTTCAGTAAATGTACCACACAGGCAGACCACCCAGAAGTGGAAGTGTGCAGGCAATTTACCTCCCAGAAGCTGCGGTTAACCGCAGCTTAATTGACAATGCTGGGAGGTCTTTGTTCGTTTGCCGAACACGTGGCGGCGGCCATCTTCGATCATTCGA